ATAGATCCTCACCGCGCTAGAGTCCCGTGAGATCTAATGTTTTTAAGTAATTTTTAAAACTAGTAAATGTCTGTATCTTTCGAGACTCGTCCGGTAAAGCGTTCCATAGTTTCGATGCAGCATATCTCCATGATCTTAACCCGAAGGTTGTTGATTTTACTTTTGGGAGGTCCAGTATTGTGGTGCCCCTAAGATTATAAGTGGAGCACCTAACTGTTATAAGATCACGTAAGCTTTTTGGTCCTGCATCACTAGTTAATATCTTAAAGACAGTGGACAAAATTTTCGCTAATCGCTGTTCACGAAGACTTGAGAGACCGATACGCTTACAAAGTTCCTCATAAGGGGAGGACTTATCTCTAAAAACAAAACGGAGCGCACGTTTGTTCACCAACTCTAACTTGTCAGCTGATTTCTTATTACAGAAGTGCCACGTTTCGGAGCAGTAATTAAAGTGTGGTAAAATGGCTAATGCTATATGCGGGTTGTGTAAATTGGCTTTTAATGTTCTATGAAAAAATAATAAACAGTCAAATAGTCAAAAAGACACTTTCTGCTGTTTACGGTTTGGACTACAATTAATGCCAAAAAACTATGCGTCTGGTCTCAGCTACTAATTTTCCTCCTTAGCTCTTGACAAACTGATCACACCCTTGGCGCTTGTGGAATATAAATTTTCTTTCCAAATTAAGACATTTTTCTGGGTTGTAGTTGTTGGTGTTTTTCGCTGTTTTCACCTATGAAATAACTGCAAACTCCTCATACTTTTTGCAGTCATTGTGCCACCTCTTGATTCAGTCAAGCAGAAACCAAATTATTTGAGGCCTTTTGTGATGCATACAAAGTACTTACAGTTTTCCTGTAGCTCGTGGAATTTTCTTTGGAATTGACTTAAGCTGTTTTCCTTCACAGTTGGCTGATACCAGGCCCTTCATTTTACCTTTAAGGACTTTGCATTGGCACGGCTGAGGGCACTCAGCTGACAAACAAAAACAGGCTTCAATTAAACTTGTTATTTGAAACATATTTGCTTTTAATCGTTCACTTTTATTTAAAGAACTTATCAACCGAAAGCTTTAAATCAAATCGATGGTGGTAAGTTACACAGTAAACCATCCGTTTAGCGGCATTCCTCAACATCATCCGAAACTAAAATGTCACCCATTGAAATAAAAGACAAACTGTTTCAATCAGATTTTTACAATTATGTTCGCCTTTGATGCAAAAGAACTTTTTTACAATCACGGGCATGATTACTATTCGCTATTCATAAAAATGATCTAAAATGGTTACTTCTTGGGATTTGTTGGCAGCTGGAGGTATCCTTTATTATTTTGCGATTGATCTGTCCAAAGATAAGAATAACAGTAAGGGCAATCGGGGTTTAATTTCGCTGTCAATGTTTAATCGACCGAGTGTTACAATTCTGAGTTTCCTCCTTTAACATGCACATCGCACAACGTTAAAATGGCCACCCTGACCGTAAAATGGCCCTCGCTTTCTATAAAAATTCTTTTGTTGCGTGACCTTTGTCTGAAAATGAAAATGTGTTCTGGTTAAAAATCACTTTCGAAATGAAAACCTAGAATCGGATGGTTGTATCTTTTTCTGACCGCTTCATTTGAGCTGAGAGGAAAACCGCATTGACGTCGCCTTGAGACTTAGGCAAGTCGTTTCTTATATTTGTTCATTCTGAACAATTTTGCGAATACTTGGCTTCAGATATTCAAGTTTGATCAGCACAGTTTTTGATGGCAGCACAGCGAAAATCGTTTAATAAGGATCCAGTTGGTTTCTGCCAATGGCTGACAGTATTATTTAACCCGCTCGGCTTTTGATAGAGGAAATAGTTTCGCCATTTTCATTTTTAGTTGGATTAGTTTTTCAGCGTAGTCAATCGATAAAAATCAATAAGTAATGTACCTTAATTTGTTTTAAATTCATGTAAATCAATTGATTATGGTCAGAAATCAATGAAAAGCGAAGAATAAGAAAGTTGTGAGTAATCACACTATTTCAGACCCGGTAGGATTCTTTCCAATGAGAAGAAAGGTCAAGGCATGATGCTTCTTTGACGCATTGCATGTAATTAAAAAGCCGGAATAAAAGGCTCTTTCATATTGGTCTTAAAATAAACAGTTTAGCATTCCCCCTCAGACTGGTAACATGACTGCATATTTCACTTCCATTACAATTTGAAACACGAAGCCATTCCAACTGTCCATCGGATGCTCTGGTAGATGCAAACGGCTACTACAACTTCGTCTTCTCAAGACTTCTTTAAAATATGTTTGAAAGAAGAACACTGCACCATAATACTTTCGATAAATAATTTGCTTAAATGAAGATGAGCGGCGTAATGGATTTCCGACAATTTACTTAAAATATAGAAAAGCAGATCAGCGGCTACCAAACAGACGCAATTTCTGTACCCTAGCTAGTTGTCTTTTCGTTATGGTCCATGAGTAAATGCCGCTCTCTTATGAGATACAGCGCTTTTTTAATATCTTTGCTCTGACATGTGGTGCTTTATACTTGGGCAGCACTCAATCGAGTCAGTTTGGTATTTGGATCCCTAAGAAACCTATAGCCTGCACAATAATTTAGAGCTTAAGCATGAAAACTAAACGTTTAATAATTGGAAATAAGCAACTCACTTCCTTCGTGTTTCACCTCATAAGTAGGACTTTTAAGGGTACTCTTACTTCAAATTGTCTTAAAAAGTTTTATTCGAAAGCCAAAAATCCTCAATTTGATACAGGACGAGTAGTAAGGTTACCAAAAGCATACACAACAGCTGAGCTACCTTGAAGTAAATATTAATATGTAACTAACGTAAGACTTACTCTCGACAGCAAGACTGATGTTTTCCCTCTTCAACTGACCATGGTCGTCCACCTCACAGCTGTATTTTGTATTTCTTTCTTCTTCAGTAACGTTGATTTGGAGTCGCACACTAGTGCTGTTTTGCACAACAGCGCCATTCCTTCTCCAGACAATACGAGGGGCCGGTCCACCACGAGCCGGGCACCACAAAGATGAAGAATGGTTGAGCAGGACAAACTGAGTCTTTTCGACTTTTACTAAATTAGTGGCAACTAAGCACAAACATTTAGAAATGGTATGTTAGGAACTGATTAGAAAAAAAAGCAAAACATAAAAATACTTAAGTGCCAGTCATTACTTATCACTGGGGGGGAGGGGGTGAGGAATTTAGGTTTGTGATACGATGATCCTCCTTAATGCTTTTTAATATTCCTATGATCCTCCCCTCCACGTTGGTAGTTAATTGGCATTTATACTCTATTAGTGACGACTGATCTCCGCTCCATTCTCCATTGGAAACGAGGTGACTCCCCAAAATCCTCCACCCCCTCCCCCGCGATACATAATGACTTGTCCCTTACCTTTTGCATTTAGCGCTTTTCCCTCAAAGGAGGCGTTCCCCAGCTTGTATCTATGGTGAGGTGAAAATCTTAACCACATGTTATGTCCACTGGATCGCAGGGTAAAATAAGAAGTATACCTTCCACAAAATACACCCAGTAGATTGGCAGACTGATTATAACCGTCACGGATCTCAAGATACTCCTCATCAGCACAAGGTGCTCCAGACAACGATGAGAGAATATAGATGCGGAATCCTATTTCCACATATTGTCCTTTCTCCACTTGAAGGAGCTTAGTTGTACCAAAGTCTTCGATGTATTCCCAGGAGTAAACTTCTGTGATTATTGCAACTATTATAAAGAACATAATTTTATAGAATAATAAGTGAACACACTTTGTACAATGAGTTAACTGATGACTGTCTATCTCTTTTTCAAGCCTCTCTTATCGCGTATGTAAACGATAAAGTAAAATCTTCAGAAACTTTGAGATTAGCTTCATAGACTTACCCTGTATTTTTCTAGTGCACCTATAATATGAGACGAATCTATTTTTCATAAATCAGTGACCAACTCAAACTCTTACGTCAGTAGTTAACAACCGATTCATTCTGGGCCATTCTGATTATCTATGTGGTAAGCATGGATTTCGTGCGTGATCTTCACACAAATACGATGTTCTTGTTAAGAACTGTCTTACATGCCGTGGTAAGGCTTTGATAACTTCCGCCCTCAAAAAAGTTTACTGCCGAGCCTGCAATGCTCATCAGTAAAGTCGCATGATTTGCTTGAAATTTTACCAAGACTTTAAATTTCGCTCGAAATTAACCTTAGTGGCCGTAAAATCTTCTGCCCTGTGCATCATGTGTATTTTCCACAAATTATAACTGATTTATGAAGAATATGAATTCGTCAAAACTATATATTACTGTATTATTACTTTACCGGTGTTAATTAAAAGGAGGAACCGCTAAAAAGGCATCAAGAATATAAAAACAAAACAAAACAAAACGAAACAAAATTAAACAAACAAAGAATAACACAGAAATTACCAACGTATACAATTAGAGCCAAGGAATTTCACAGACTTTTCCCTCAATTATTCTGCTTTTAGATAATGTTAATGATTTTCTTTGGTTCTACCCATAAGTTTACGTGAACATACAGACAGAATACTCGCCTCAAACATCGCTTATTCGTTGATATTCTGCCGATAGAATTGATCCCAGCCTACCCCCGGCAAATCACGTTTGTGTTTGCCTTGAAATGTTCTAATACCCAAACTACAGCTATGTGTCTCATGCTCGTTCGTGAAAGCTACATGTGAGAAAATGTT